CTCTCTCTCTCTCTCTCTCTCTCTCTCTCTCTCTCTCTCGATCGATCGATCGATCGATCGGAACATTTCCAATGGCATATATCGATCCGAATCCCTCCGATCGATAGGTACGATCGATCGGAGCATTTCCAATGGCATATATCGATTAGATTTTGGAATGCATTTTTTTTGGGCAAAGAAAAAAAAACGAGTTGGGATCTCTTTTCTATCTTTATTTTTTCTCGAGAGAAATTAAAAAACAGTAAGGTGAGGTGAAGGTTGATGACCGTTTCGTGTGTGCATGCGCTCCCACACACACACACACACACACACACACACACACACACACACACACACACACGAGCGCTGTAACTTTGTTTTGCAAAGGGAAAATATTTAAAAAAAAAACATTCCCACCATCAGTATGACAACTCGCAATCCCTACGACCCCAATAACCACCAGAGACAACCAGGCCGCCGGCCTCAATTCCTACGAAATGTGGTACCGGTACCACAAAAGATGCCCATGCGCTCCCTGTCTGAGAGAGAGAGAGAGAGAGAGAGAGAGAGAGAGGTGTGTGTGTGTGTGTGTGTGTGTGTGTGTGTGTGTGTGAGTGGTGTGAGCCCGTGTGTTCAGATTTGACACATAGCATTAAACACTAAGGAAAACCCCACAGCAAGCTGTGATACAGCCGTTCAAACCACAGGGAGTTCGTCCACCCGGCTTACGTTCTTTATCATGGGAAGTAGCACTAGAAGCAACGTAATGATGCACTACCGACCTAGGCTGATAGGACCATTTCCGAAGTAACAAAAGGAAATACCAGCAAGATGGAAAAGATGGTAAACATCAATGCCGGAAAAATCCGTGTGACTGTCTATTAAAAAAAAAAAAAAAAATACGGCAAACATCAAACAAGAAATCACCATGCAACGCGGCAAGGCATAGGTTGACAAACAGCAGCGAAGGTCAAAGGTTGGAGGGCATAGGGGGTGTGGGAGGGCAGAGGACACACAAGGTACTAATGGAAAGACATGAGATGACTAGGCATAGGATGGCAGACAACAGCAAAGGATGAAGGCTGGAGGGCACGAGGGAGGCGGGAGGGCAGATGCCACACAAGTATACCAAGGAAATGACACACAAGGGAAAGACATGAGGCGACAAGGCAAATGACTACAAACAGCAGCAAAGAATGAAAGCTGGAGGGCACGGGGGAGGCGGGAGGACCGGCGTCACACAAGTATACCGAACTGACGACGCACAAGGTACTAAGGGAAAGACAAACAGCAGCAAGGGACAAACGCTGGAAGGCACATGGGGAGGCAGGCGGGCAGATGACACACAAGTACACTAAGCAGGCAATACACAAGTATATCAAGTAGACAACACACAAGCAGACGACAAGCACAGCAAGCAGACCAAGCAGATGATACTCAAGCACGCCAAGCAAACGGGAGACGAGCACACCAAACGAACCAAGCAAACAGCGAGGAAGCACACCAAACAGAAACCAAAGAAGACACAAGTCCCGGAAAATTTCGAGGACTGAAAAAAATAAAACTGATGATAGATTGTTTCGTCGGAGTTGCACCGACTCATCAGGAGGCTGAACCCTCGACAATCTGCGGAATGCCCGTATGGATGATTTGGGCCGTGAACCGTTCGACCCATGTTGAAGGCAGACTGTCCCCAAATGCAGACTGTCCCCAAATGGAATATAGCAGCGGGTGGCAACTCAGTGAAGCACCAGGCAACGCTGCTGGAGCAACTCAACGGCACAACGGCAAAAACGACTGCAAGGAACGACACGGCAAGCGGGCGAGCAGCATGGCAACAGCGCAGCGAAGCGCAAGGCAACACCAACACAGCAGTCACCACCACACGACACAACCAAGGAACATTGAAGGAACGAAACGCAGATGGGCAGCAAGGCAACAGTGCAGCGAAGCACAGGGCAACACCAACACGGCAACCATGCCACACAGTGGACACAAAAACTTGCAAAGAACGACATGAGATGCCAGCGGGACGGGCAGCAAGGCAGCTGTGGAGTACAAACAAGGCAGTCTATACATCCAACTCGGAGCAAAGCGGCACATCACCTACTCACATTGCGGGTGAACTTCGCAGACTGTCGGTTCCCACCACCTGCTGAGCCAGGAAGGTACCACGACGGACATCAATCATCCACCCACAAACCTCATGCACCACAAACATCACAGATGCAGCCCCACCGTAAGAGTCCTGCAGGCAAAAAAAAAAAAAAAACACTCAAGCAGTGCTAAATAAGGGTGCTCACGCAGGCGCATGCAAAATATTTGAAAAAATCAAGAAAGAGGGAATATACACTCAATAACACTTAGCACAAAATGTTAGGCTTTACTCTCAAGGAGGACATAATGTGCCAAATAACAGGACTGAAATGCAGCGTGTGCACCCAGCATCGCCCTTCTGCCTCGTCCACTCAGGCAATGATACTATCTCCCTTCTTACTTAAGTAGTGTCTCTAGTAGCCTCAACTCTAAGATTTACGAAGTCCCTAGATGGTCACCTCCTGACTTCCTCCTTCCACCGATCGTCCTGCTCGTCGTGAGAACGTATATCTTCCCCCCTAGCTGTTCTGATGAACTCCCAGCCTGTCGATCTCATAGTCGCCATCCTCTTCCCTCAACTGTCAGTGGCAGGGAGCGCCTATATGAGTCCGGTATACTGCAGAAAGAAACCTCGCCTCCAGCAGTGGTCAAAAAGATTTGTTAACTACCATGGTCAGAATCCTCTCCGTTGATCAGCTGATATGAGACCTGCATCACGGTTGGTACCGTGTCCTTTATTTCTCAGTGGCAAGGAGCGCCTATATGAATCCAGCATACTGCCAAGAGACAGACACACCTCCCACAGACGTCAAAAAAAAGTAAAATGCTGTGGATACATAAGTATTTTTTTTTGTTGTTGTAAAAAGTAATATATATCGTCAAATATATATATTTATATATAGATATATATATATATTTCTATTTGACGATATATATATAGATATATATATATATATATACAGCCCCTCGTTTGTTGTCCTCTTCTCCCTCTCTGCCTACGGTTTACCAGGCAGTTCTATTTGACGATATATATATATATATTTTTTTTTAAAAGACAACACAAGCTCCATCTATTGGTGGGGAGCAACACCTGCTGGAAACCGGGTCCAGCGTCCCATAGATAAAACCATATCCTCCCAAATTGGCACACACTGGGAACCGGGCCCAGCGTCCCATAACGAGCACTTCAGAAGAGTCATCAGAAAATTCCATGACAATGAGACTAGAAGCCAACTAAGAATTTTGGAGCTCCTTCAGACCTCTTTGTAAGAAACTTCAAGGGAAAAGTTGTTGATGCCCCCCGCGGCAAAACCTTTGTCAAATTTCCACCCCAAAATGGACGCGCCGTGCGGGAGGTCCCCAAAAAAAACTTTTTGTCCTTCTTGCACCCCGGCTGGGCTGGCGTTACCGGCCCAGCCAGGCTGCAGAAACGATGCGAGGCCCCCTGAACATACTTTCTGAGTCGTTTTTGCGGCCTGGGCCGGTAACGCCAGCAGGGCCCGCTGTGCAAAAAAGGCGGGAACTACCGGCCCAGCTGGGGTGCAAGAAGGACAAAAAGTTTTTTTGGGGGACCTCCAGCACGGCGCGTCCATTTTGGGGTGGAAATTTGACAAAGGTTTTGCCGC